TAATTTATCCTATTTTTATTTATGTACCTATGAAAGAAAATCGTGTAAAATTAAATATAACTGTAAAAGCTGTGTAGAAGCAGAGTTTATCTGTACCTATGCAGTAGAGCTGCTAGTAAGGCGATTAATATTTCTTGCTCTCTCAAGAATACAAGGACAAGTTAATATTATCTATACAGTATTGTAACTCGGCCGTATCTTTTATACTTTTTTATATAAACAAATATAGTAGGTACTTTGTGAATTGAATAGGAAGTGTTCAATAAAAATGCGTGTCGTTTTTTGATTGGTAGATTTAATTAAAAAACCATGTTTATGTTTTAATAACAAATCGGTCTTATTTTGCGACCGAAAAATATTTGCGCCTCGGCTGAGACTTACGAAATGCTTTATTATTAGATTTTTTAAATATAAAAAATCCGCTTTCTAATATAAAGCTTCATTAAAAATTGTTTTGGGAAACATGGACAACGTGGAGAAAAGGAATATCTTTTAATTGGTTATAGATACCTGCAGCTACTTTACAATTTATATTTTGGTTTTAAATGAAGTTTGGATTTATTATTTCTTTATTTCAATTCTATTATTTATTTCCTCCATTTTTTTTATATATTACGCAAAATCATCACTGCGGCACAGTCTCGACTGTCTGCATGCTGAGCGCATGCCGAGAGCGAGGCGCGTAGGTATAGCTTTCGCTTCGTCCGTTTGTATGAAGTTGGAATACCCGTGACAAGGAGGACTGCGCTGGGAACTGTAGGACGTTTGTATAGATAGGAGGTACTCGCTTATTATATCTAACAACTCTATTGTAGAGCACAGTTTGTGTAATATTTCGATATTTTCAAAATTATTTCATGTCATTGTAAATATAGAAAACCTCCTGCAAATTCCTTAAAATGAGAGGAGGGATGTACCCAGTTGTGGCTGGGATGAAAATATCCCGTTACTTTTACTTTTTTTAATTTTTAATATTAGAGTTAGACATCCCTTATATAATAAATCTGCCTTATAATTATAAATTTAAAAAAAATATAAAGATGCCTTTTATTGACCTACATTTCTGCAATGATCTATGACATAAAAAATTTGTTATATACATAAATTATTATGTACATGATATCAGTGTTATATTTTCGTACCCATTTTTAACACTCATTTTATTTTCCGTTGATTGTTCTTTTTTATAAGTGCGGCTAAAGGTCAAATACTAAAACCGAATGTTATTTTATTTTTAACTGGCGATACCCGCCTGCCCGCATCGCTGGGCTTAAATTGAACTTTAGTGATTATTGTTATAATAAAAAATTCCATTAATATAAAAATCTGTGTTTGCCTACCCGTGTGCCATTTGAAGCAATAGTTAATAGCATTGCCAACTTTTTTTTAAATACTTATAATATTATAACTGTGAATGCCCAAACGGCTTAAATATTTTAATCAAATTTAGAAGACCATTATATAATGGAATAGGTCATAAAGTCTATCAAAAACATGTATCAAAAGCGCGTATTCGAATGCAACGTTGTGAACTTTCAAAGCAACCGGTGAGAACTTTCAGTTATTTAGGATTTCGAAAAACGAACCATGAATTTTTTTGAAGGTATCCATATAAATTTTATTTATTAAACTTGTTGCATCGGCCGTAATTTCTCTAGGGATTAAAAAACTTGGGAGTTGAATCAAATTTTTTAAAATTATTGATGCAAGTTTGCGCGTACTGGCATGGTTATGACGTAACCTGCCAGTACGCGCAAACCACATTAAATTGCCATGCCACATTAAATTCGTTTTAAAACGGTTACGTTACTTTATGTTATTATTTATGTAACACACTAATATTAAGTAGCAAAACGATAAGGGTTTATTGCAAAAAGAAAGTTGTATCGATTTATAAACGATGCGTTGTTCTTTTTTCTTTTTTTTTTTAAATTCTTTCTTTGATTGTACGTTGTACTGTATTATCCAAGCGGTAATAGCCTAATAGCATGTTTTATTGTGATCGAACAATAAAACATGCTATTAGGCTATTACCGCTTGGATAATACCGTTTATCGAAGTACACCAAAAGCTAAAAATACGCTGACGAAAAGGTTTAATTCAATTAAGTGCAATGTAATTCTATATAACTTAAGACTTGATGAAATACTTACAATAATGATAACAATTATTTTTTTATGGTAGTTCCCTTTGTTGTAATATATTCTTGAATAAAAAAAATGAAATTTTTACTAAATTTTACAAAATTTTAAAAACTTTGCAGAATACATTTTCAATATCTACTGGCAGTCGTATGTCCAACACACGGCCTGTACTGTACTTGTACCTGCTGTGATTCGTGTATCTTTCTGTAATATTCGTCAAATTTTATATTAATTAGATTATTTATATTAATTAGAGTTAAAATTAAAAAAATTGTTAAAAATATGCAAAAAATTAAAGAGCAAGTCACTAAGGTATTGTTTTGTGTACTGATATAATAACCTAGAAACGTATATACTTACTTATATTTAAAACTAACTTCTACATTAAATGACACTGTGTAACAAAAAGCTTCACCCCAGTGCTAGCCAGCGACATCCGACACGGAAGCGGAAGATTATTAGTCCTCATTGTTGAAGATAGATCCACGTACAAAGACCTGAGTTTTATTGTATCATATTAAAGTTCGGGTTTTTACAACAATCGTAAATTTTTGTCTGTACGCTGTGCTGCATTTTATGCTTTTTATGACCAAAACATTATTTTGGTTAAAAAAAAAACATTTTAATATGCTCACCATTTTAGAAATGCAAGTGAAAGTAAAATGTCTCAGAATTGAGTTTACGAACAACTCAGGTGCTCTACCTTTCTTTATGAGATAAAGTTTTTTTTTATAAATGAAAGTCTTTTATGCATTTCTTTAGTATTTCTCATAAACATACAGTGTTTTGTGCATAATAACATACATAAGTGACGTGAACCTGAGACCTTTTTTAACTGGTAAAGAGGTCGGATCCGTTTCTTAAAAATCGAGAATGATTGTCTATGGTGCACAGCATCCTTTTACCATAATAAGGATTAAGGACTGAGTGTACGTCTGTCACCTTTACTTCTATAAAAATATTGGAACATATTTTATATATTAAGCTAAACAAAATACGTTGTAAAAAGTATCAACACATGTGATATTCACACATCACAATATACACAAATCACAACACGTTTGATTATTTTATTGCTATATAATTTACACGGTGACATATTTTGAGATAAGCAAATATCGCGTCATTCTCATTATCTACATAAGTTTTCCAACCGTTCACTAGATGGCGCTGCACCATTTAAAAACAGACTATGGTTTAGCTGTTATTTGCAGCACAAACAATTCACGCAATATTGAAAACATTGCCATCAGGAGGGTCTTAACTGACTCGACTGAACAGCGAATGATGAGCTCTGGATATGAATCTTGTGATTCTACTCCACTCGTTTGCAGATCATCTATCGCAGATCTGTAAGTCGAACGAACTGACGCTGTTTTGGCCACACGTAATTCATAATTATTTATATGTATTATATTGTGATCGAAGTTGAACATTAAAGTTAAAAATATACCTCACCGTATGTATGCAATATAATTTAATATATTGCTTGTTACATTGTGGATACAGTGTAATATTGAAAACTAATGTTTAGTTTGTTTGCTTGTTCATATATCATACTATATGCGTTGCCATAACGTTGATCAGATTGCGCTAGAGTTGATAAAGTTTTAGCCTAAAACTTTATCAAATTTTTGCTTGCATTTGCGCGGATAACTTCAATGAATGTATCACTGTGCCATTCATAACACAATTACTTCTGCGGCAGCAGCACGCCGGACACCAGCTAGCGCATTATAAAAACTAAATAATGCGCTTATGATTGGAATGAAATTGACAATAAGATATAAAACTACAGTAGTAAAGTAACTATATTCAGTTAAAAAGCGACAGAATACAGATTGACGTTACGTACAGAAATCGCCAACTCAGTACTCTCGACAACTGTGGTTAATCATAGCGTAGCATAGTCATAGCGCAACCGCTTTATGGTTTCAGCTTTTGGAGTGGATAGTTAGATAGTTTGAAAAAAAAAACCTACATATTTTTTTAAGAAAAGGATATGTACTCGTAACGTATAAAAAAACGGAAGGGCAAACATTTTAGTTAAGTATTGTATATAATACGCTAATTAAGTTTAGGTGTAATGAAAAAGTTATAAGATTTATTTTTACTGTACTTAACACTTTCCTAAAAAATACTTTAAAAACATGTGCATGCTAATAAAATGTTACTAATAACATAACTTTGTCGGTAAACAGTATATGGTTGCACACTGGCTTCTTCCATAGTCCCATAGTACGGATTCTTTTATGGTAGAGATTAGAGACACTACTGACATTCCTCTTACTTTGAAATCGTCCAGCAATCCCGCATTGACAAATTTAACCCATTACTGGTCTAGTATTTTCATTTTTAATAAGACAGTAGTGATGAGGGTGTTTTTATGACAGTCTTTGGAGTCGAATGATAATAAACGAAATATTAAAATCACCTTATAAAGGAGTTTAAAAAATATGATACTTAACGGAATTTTGAAATTTTAAAATTGTCTTATTTATACATTACTTGTTTTAAACGTGGTACACAAGAAGTACACTAGCGCGCTTAATGACTAAGATATGCTATAACTGCTAGCACAGAATAAATAATAATACTACGTACTACTAGCCTCATTTCTGGCCGCTAATAGCAGACCCTGCAGTGGTGCACACACAATTTACAAATTTAATAAAGAACAAGTACAAATATTGCTGGGTCGATTTCACCATATATACTACTACATAAAATTATGCACGACATAATTTATATATAACTGTATTATGCAAGACAATTATTTCATAAAATTTCTAAATATAAATTACAACTTTCCAGAAATAAAACTACGGAAAGAAGGGTGCGATCGAGCGTCACATCATGGGTCAAGAGCAGTCGTACGTCGCGCACGGCAGTGTCGCGCAAGTGAGACATTACAAGGACAACAAATACGGTGGCCCAGTCCATTACCGGAGCAACTCCGTGGACAGCCGATCGACTGACTGCGACTGCGGCGAGTACAAGCGCCACAGAGCGAGAAGGAGCGCCGACAGCTTCAAAAGCGACAACTCATCGAACGAGAGTAGCGGGTATAGAAGCGGGTCCAGTGCTTACGATATTCGCTCAAGCAGATCTTCCAATAGCGATTATTATTGCACGTCACTATACAAAAACGATCACTACAGAGAAGTTAACAAGGAACTGTACAAACCTGTTAAAATAACGAAAGAAAAGCGCTATCAGCTGCTTTGCGAGGTCAACAACAAGGATATAAAAAGTGCGCGTTTGAAAGGCTATCTCAGCGACGCGGAGAAAGCTAGCTTAAATACGGGTCCCACACCGAAGAAGGCTGGCATTAGGAATTACACGCCGAAAATATTGTCAGAGGGCGAACAGAGAAAGAAGATAGAGAGTTGGCTTTAGATAAGCGACTAGTAGAATAAGTTGTAAATATTACTTAGTTAGTAGATGAGTTTAGAAGGCAAAGATGGAGGCGGCTGGAGCGCTCGCGAGTTTGGCACCGTCGCCCATCACAGTGCTGGGTCTGATACCACTCCTGGCTCTCGGGATCACGTACTTCAGATACCAGCAATATGATCCGGAGTCGTACATTACGGAAGTTAATACTGTAAGTATAAAAATGTTATGTATTTACTAAGCCTATTTTTTTATAGTATAAGGGTGACAAACGAGCACACATTCCACCTGATAGTAAGTGGTTGCTGTGCCCATAGACATTAACGTTTATCCTCGAATGGACGAATCAAAATGTAGATGCGTTGTCAGCCGTGAGGACTGAGATGGAATGCGTCGTTATCAGTAAAAAGTGTATCCGGTTCTCTATACTCAACAAACGAAACACAGCGGCGTTTAGCTGCTATTTTACGCTAGTATTCTTTGAGAGAGTGGTCCTTCCCCGGTCGAGCCGACCCATTCGTGCTACAACTAAACCGTGTGGTTCAGGTGCGACGCGAGACAATCCGTCAACCTATTTCCTTTCGTGAATATCATAACAGGCGCATATGGAAGATGCCAGAAAAAACTTAAGTCTTCCTTACAGATGTTAGAAATTTATCAGCAAGATCCGCGTAATAATATCTTTAATACAATGCATTACCGCAAAATAACTCCCGATTCTCATCGTTATCTTATAGCTTCCGATAGACGGCGGCATATCAATTACGTCAGACATAAAATACCCTGACCAGCGACGGGCAGCTGCGTAAAAGGTACGAGAAGAAAGGTGGTAGAGCCACGCTGCAGGTTAATTATGGTTGTAGCACGCATCAGTCGGCTCAACCTGAGTATTACTACACTCTCACAGAATACCAGCGTAAAATAGCAGCTAAATGCTGCTGTGTTTCGTATGATGAGTGTAGAAAACCGGAGATTATTATTACTGAAAACGAGGCATTACATCTCAGTCCTCTGGGGCCATAACGCATCTGCATTTTGATTCTTCATTGAAGATAAATGTAGGTGTCTATGAGCCACAGCATCTACTTACTGGACTGTGTGCTGGTTTGTCACCCTTATTCTATAAAGAAAAGGTACGGAGATCATCAACTCGCTTGGAAAACGTGTTGTTTATGGTAAATTATCATTATAACAAAGATATCCATGTCCAATGCCCAGCAGCGGAATTCGAAGAGCTCATGAAGAAGATTAACCTAGGGAAATCGCTCTTTGATTTCTGCGAAGATTTTTGGAGCAGAGTAATAAGCTGTTTACGTCACTGTTTCAAATATTTTTAACTCCTCACACATGCATGATTCCTTACAAAACCACTTTACCGCCGAACGCGTGTTAAATCAGCGCAGCACTTGTAATTTATTGGTCCTGTTGGAATCGAACTAGTTACACTCAGCTACTGCATAATCGTGCATAATCGTAGAGCCGTGGTAGCTCAGTGGTTAACGCTCGCTGTAAATATAACAGAACGCGAGTAACCCGGGTTCGATCCCCGCCGGCACCAATGAAATTGTTAATTGCAATTTTAAGTGCTGATTTACCACGTGCTCGGCGGTGAAGGAAAACATCGTGAGGAAACCTGCATGTCTGAGGAATAAGAAAAAAAATATTTCGAAGACATGTGAAGTTCGTCAACACGCATTTGGGCAGCGCGGCGAACACTTCCTTGCCCTAAACCCTCTCAGAAATGAGGGGAGGCCTGAGCCCAGCAGTGGGACGTATATAGGCTGTAACTTTACTTTACTTTACTTTTACTGCATAATCGAAGCGAGCTATACCCCTAAGTACTACGGTTATACTGTGTTGTGAGAAGTATAGCAATTATAATTAATTACACCACTAGCACTAGCAGTGGCGGTGTAAGAATACCCATTACCACATATCATCCCGTGGACTCGTAAGACACCACAGAAGGAAACAGACAAAGATATGGGCAGCAGCGTATACGTAATAACAAACTACTACTACCTAATAAAAAACTGCGGTTGCTTACCCGCTTACAAAGCGTGGTAGCTGTGGCAAATATCCGCCCATGACGCAATCTATACGGGAGGCCTGTGACATTATAAATTAAGTTTATAAAATAGCCTCAAATGTACGCAACTATTCCACATACGTAAAATGTGTTTTATATGGCAGAACAACGTGGGTCTTTCCCGGTTTTTTATATATATATATATATATATATATATATATATATATATATATATATATAACATAACATAACATAAACACTCACGTCTGTCACCCAGAGGGGTAGGCAGAGACTACAGACTTCCATTTGGCACGATCCTGACACACCTCTCTCGCCTCCTTCACATCCATATACTTACGCATACATGCTCGTCGGTTAAGGGTACTCCTAATTTGGCCCGTTTTCAATAAATCGCCAATTTGGTCGATAAATTTTCGCCTAGGACGTCCCTTTCCGACTCCGCCATTCACTTCTGCAACATAAATTTTCTTTGTTACTCTTCCTCATTCATTCTTTCCACATGACCAAACCATTCATTTCTTAATCCTGGTCACAACATCATCTTGCAAACCACACTCTTATATATATATATATATATTTTTTTTTATATATATATATATATATCTTCCTTAAAAATGAATTTTTCTTTATTTGTATCGTATGCACTCCTATACCATTAATCTGAGTTGTTGCGTGCGCACGCAAGAGGTTAGTGATGAAAAAGTATGAATTAAATAAGATTAATTAAAAAAATATATAATTTTTTTTAGAATAAGATGATAAACGAGCACACATTCCACCTGATGGTAAGTGATCTCAGCTCATAGACATCTTCATCTATCATTGATGAATCAAAATGTAGAGCGTTGTCACCCCTGGGGACTAAGATGATATGCCTCGTTTCCAACAAAAAGGTGTTTGGTTCTCTACACTCACAACACGAAACACAATAATGTGGTATTCTGTGAGAGCGAGGTCCTTCCCCGGTCGAGCACACATTCGTGCTACAGTCATAAAAAAGCTGTTGTGTGTGAGTGTTGCTCCACCACGTAAACGTGCGTAAATGATATAAAATTTTTTAATTTGGATATTTTGTTTTCAATTTCAGATAATGCCGATATACGATTTCGTGATAGTCGGCGGCGGGTCGGCCGGCGCTGTGGTCGCATCGCGACTGTCCGAGATCGGCAATTGGACAGTGCTGCTGCTAGAAGCCGGTCAAGACGAAACTGAGATCTCCGACATTCCAGCGCTGGCTGGATACACGCAGCTCTCCGACATGGACTGGAAGTTTCAAACGACGCCTTCCAACAACCGCTCCTACTGTCTCGCTATGAACGGTGACCGTTGCAACTGGCCGAGGGGCAAAGTGTTGGGCGGGTGTAGTGTCCTCAACGCGATGGTGTATGTTAGAGGCAATCGGAACGATTATGACCTGTGGGAAGCGCTGGGCAATCCCGGCTGGTCTTACGACCAAGTGTTACCATATTTTTTGAAATCAGAGGACAACCGAAATCCATACCTTGTGAACACTCCCTATCATTCAGCCGGTGGATACTTGACTGTCCAAGAGGCCCCGTGGCGTACGCCACTATCGATAACATTCTTAAAAGGAGGTATGGAACTGGGTTACGAATTTCGCGATATAAACGGCGCAAAACAAACCGGTTTCATGCTTACCCAGGCCACGATGCGTCGCGGCAGTCGGTGTAGCACGGCTAAAGCTTTCCTGAGACCTGTCCGCCAAAGAAACAACCTCCATATTGCCCTGGGAGCGCAAGTAACGCGGATTTTAATTAACCCAGGAAAAAAGCAAGCATACGGGGTTGAATTCGTCCGGAACGGTCAGAAGCAAAAAGTACGAATAAAGAGAGAGGTCGTAATGTCGGCCGGGGCATTAGCGACGCCCAAATTGATGATGCTGAGCGGGATCGGGCCGGCGGATCATCTGAGGGAGCACGGCATACCGCTCATCGCGAATTTAAAAGTCGGTCACAACCTACAGGATCACGTCGGCCTAGGCGGTTTAACGTTCATCGTAAACAAACCGATCACTTTCAAAAAGGACCGTTTCCAATCATTCGCTGTCGCAATGGACTACATTCTGTACGAAAAAGGGCCGATGACTACGCAAGGCGTTGAGGGGCTCGCTTTCGTAAACACTAAGTACGCCCCGCCGTCGGGCAACTGGCCTGACATACAATTCCATTTTGCACCGAGTTCGGTCAGCTCCGACGGCGGTGAACAGATACGAAAAATCTTGAATTTACGCGACCGAGTATACAATACCGTATATAAGCCGATTGAAAACGCCGAGGCATGGACTATACTCCCCTTACTTCTGCGCCCAAAGAGCTCCGGTTGGGTGAAGCTCCGTAGCAGGAATCCATTCCATCCTCCATCTTTAGAGCCGAATTACTTCGCTTATAAGGAAGATTTACAAGTCCTCACTGAGGGTATACGGATAGCTTTCGCGCTGTCGAATACAACAGCATTCCAGAGATATGGATCTAGACCTCACAACATTCCGATGCCGGGCTGTCAACACCTGGCCCTATTCAGCGACGAGTACTGGGAGTGCAGTTTGAAACACTTCACGTTTACAATTTACCATCCAACCGGCACCTGTAAGATGGGGCCGAAGCACGATCAAGACGCGGTCGTTGATCCCAGATTAAGGGTCCACGGAGTGGCGAACTTGCGGGTCATCGACGCGAGTATCATGCCTACAATAATAAGTGGCAACCCTAACGCGCCCGTCATCATGATAGCTGAGAAAGGGTCTGACATGATCAAAGAAGACTGGCTTGTGTTATGACAGTGATCCCTTGCTACTGGTTGAAAATGTTAGTCAAACTTTAAGAACTATTTATATCACAAAGTAATTTTAAGTTGATAATTGTAAACAAATTTTATTATGTAAATAGTTGTTTTATGTAATCGAAAGCCTCTTACTTTTTAAGCTTAAATCAAAAAT